ATGGCTTGACAAAGCACATCAGGCCAAAGTGGCATTGGACAAGGAGGCTCCTGGACAAGGAGGTGCGGCTGGAGATTGTGAAGACCCAGCAGCAGGTGGCTGACATTCTCACCAAGCGCCTTGCAGAATCTAAGAATTGGAAGGGCATGAAGCTTGCGGGAATGAGTGTGCATTGAGGGTGCATGCTTGATTTATGTCATGTGGGATGATGGTTGGCAGCCAGAGGGGGAGTTTGTTGTGTGATGCAACCATATGCATTCACGTCTGTCTGCCTCCCATCATGTGTTTGTGCATTGCATGCGTGGTGTGAGCGTGTGCAAGAAATTTGTGTCTTGTGTGGTTTGGATTTTCTGTGTGTGTGTGTGTATGTGTGTGTGTGTGTGTGTATGTGTGTGTGTGTGTGCGTGTGTGTGTGTGTGTGTGCGTATGTGTGTGTGTGTGTGTGTGTGTGTGTGTGTGTGTGTGTGTGTGTGTGTGTGTGTGTGTGTGTGTGTGTGTGTGTGTGTGTGTGTGTGTGTGTGTGTGTGTGTGTGTGTGTGTGTGTGTGTGTGTGTGTGTGTGTGTGTGTGTGTGTGTGTGTGTGTGTGTGTGTGTGTGTGTGTGTGTGTGTGTGTGTGTGTGTGTGTGTATGTGTGTGTGTGTGTGTGTGTGTGTGTGTGTGTGTGTGTGTGTGTGTGTGTGTGTGTGTGTGTGTGTGTGTGTGTGTGTGTGTGTGTGTGTGTGTGTGTGTGTGTGTGTGTGTGTGTGTGTGTGTGTGTGTGTGTGTGTGTGTGTGTGTGTGTGTGTGTGTGTGTGTGTGTGTGTGTGTGTGTGTGTGTGTGTGTGTGTGTGTGTGTGTGTGTGTGTGTGTGTGTGTGTGTGTGTGTGTGTGTGTGTGTGTGTGTGTGTGTGTGTGTGTGTGTGTATATGTGTGTGTGTGTGTGTGTGTGTATATATGTGTGTGTGTGTGTGTGTGTGTGTGTGTGTGTGTGTGTGTGTGTGTGTGTGTGTGTGTGTGTGTGTGTGTGTGTGTGTGTGTGTGTGTGTTTGTTTTTTGGCTTGAGCAGATGTCTGAAGTGATTCCTCTACTCAAGAGCTTTCCGATGAACCAAGAGTCGTCGCGATCGGAGCACAACCAAGAAAGTTACGAACATTGGAGTTCGTATGCTTATATATTTTGGTTGCAGCTACTTTGGGAAGTTGTGGCATTGACTCAATATGGGGTACAGACTTGTGGGGGTTGGGAAATTCGAACCCATCACTATGATGCTGCCAAGAGGTTGGGTGAAGCCAAACCAGGTTGGTAAGTGTGGCCAAGTTGAGGTGAGGTGGACGGCATGGGTTGGAAAGTGACAAAGGTCAAAGTGTGTTGCCTATGGGGAAGGGAATTATGTGGCATGGGGTTTCCTTGGATGGGGACTCTCTTGGGACCTTCCCTCACGTCCTCCTCTTCCCCTCCTACCTTGTTTAGTGCTACTCTAATGTTCTTTTGTGGGACTTGTGAGTTAATTGTGATTGAGTTAAATTTATGTGGCAGCATACCCCCTAGTGCGCCGAAAAGCATAACTCGAGATATTCTTCATATTTTGATACGACTTAAATTAGGAAATGTAGCCACGGTCTAGGGCTACAACATATTCGAATTTCGTGGGATTCTAACAGTGCACATTTCGTCGACAACGTTTCTTGTGAAGTTGACGTTTCTGTCCAGAAATTGAGACCAACGATTTTGAGAAATTTGGGCACCTAATCTTCATAGACTCCGTCCTTAGTCTCTAACACTTCCACCTTGTGACCACCTGAGGTGTTGTGTGCAGTTAGGCCTTGTTGACACAGTTTCTAGTCGTGTATAGGCTTGAGTCTACTATTTTCTTTGCTGGTACTCTTGCTATACACACTTGTGAACTCTCGAACTGGCCTTGTGGCCCCTGTTGCTTGTGCTCAGAGTGTGTAGTGACGTTGTGATCCACCCTGAGCTTTGTTTCTTTGTGACTGGTCTTGTGACCGTACACTTTTGGTTTTGCTTGACACTCCTCACTTAGGCTATGGGGGTGTGTCAAATGTTGTAGCCTGTAGTGAGGTTTGTCTTAGGGGGTACAGATGTTAGGGTTTGTTATATGTACCCCAACCCACATCAATGAACCAACACTTTCATTCTTGACGCCCACTCCCTCGGTCGCTTATGCCGCCGACCTTCCCCCGCTCTTACGTCGAGGGGCGGCAGCGCGCTGCTCTCACTCCTCGTTTCTTCCGACCACTACTTATCTACTGGCGCTGCACATATATATGTGGGGCGCTGCCCCCGTCCTTGGGCCAGACCGAGAGCGCTATTTCGCGCTGGTCGTTGATGACTTCTCGCGCTACACCATGGTGTTTCCCTTATGGCGTACGGGCGACGTCCGCACTGATTTGATCCCTTAAATCCCGCGGCCCAAGTTGCGGATCGCGCCGGTCAACCTTACTAATCTTGATCTTGCGTTGCTATGTTTTTTCCTTGTGCAAATTAGGGTTCAAAATGTGAGAAGAGATTTGATTGGCCAGTGCACTTGCACTGGGTTCGCGAAACGTGAGCAGCGGGAAACTTTCAATATTACTATCTGTGCAACATGGGACTCTCGCACCTGAACGCGAGCTGGCCCCTAGTGTTTGCTGAGTCAACAAGAAAAAACAAAGCGTGGCGAAAATCTGGGCGAAACCAACTTCACCCACCCTCCCAGCACCTCGACTTTTGAGACGTCTCAAAAGTCAACTTCACCCACCCTCCCAGCACCTCGACTTTTCTTTCTCCACCTCCCCACCACCCAATGGTCAACCTTAGTAAGGTTGAGCTTGGGCTGTGGGCTTTAATTCCGTGATGTTCGTAGCCAACTAAGCACACAGTTCCGACAAGACCTCCCTCTGCTCCGTCTGCACTTCTACCGCGGCGGTGAGTCCTCCTCCCGTCTTCTTGAGGAATTTTGTCCTGAGAAAGGCATCACCCATTCGTTCACGCTTCCGGCCTCTCCACAACATAATAGGATTTCTGAGGGCCACATTGGCTTGATCATGGAGGTTGGTCGCACCCCTATGATCCATGCGGCTACTCCCCATTTTCTGTGGCCGTTTGCCGTTTGTGGCCCTTAACCTTTGGCTCCGTGTCTCCAAGCAGGAGACCTTGCCTACCCTACTCTGGACGGGGGAGGTTGGTGATGCGTCGGAGTTCCGGGTCTGGGATTCTTTTAACCTCGTTCGCGATCCTCTCGTGGGCAAGCTCTCTCCTGGCACTCTTCGCTGCGTCTTCCTTAGCTTTCCCACCAACGCCCTGCCTTGTCAGTTTTACCACTCGGCCACGCGTTGCATCCTGTTATCTCAGACGTCACTTTCGACGAGTGCGTCTCCTTCTACCGGCTCTTCTGCCACCACAGTTTCCCGGTGCCCCCCCTCCTCCCCCCCCCCCCCCCCCCCCCCCCCTCTTTTCTTGGTTCATTGTAACCCTACGGTAGATCCTTCCGCCCCTTCACGTCCTGCTCACTCTCTTTGGGCCCCTCCGGCCCAGTTGAGCGAGGTGACCCTGTTGCTCATGACACGTTGGTCTCTTGCCGTTCCCCACGTTTAGAGGCTCCTCTTGGTTTCCGATCTCAGCCTCTATGCGGAGATAACTGCTGCAACCGGAGCTAGACTACGGGCTAGGCACGTGTGCTCGTGTGATCTCTGCGCTCGTTCACTTAGTCGTTTCCTTGTGTCCACGCTTCTTGCTAGTTCACGGGAAGAATTTGCAAGAGTTTCACTAGGAAAACATGACAAGAATAATGGCAACAACATTGGCAACATTGACTACATCAGAGCTAGCTAGGCTACTCGTCGACCTCCAGCGCAGCACGGTCGACCGCACTCCAGCACAGCAGCGCTCGCACCGCTCCAGCGTAGCAGGGTAGTGGTTCGCCAACATTGCAAGTTCACGGTGTGCCAGCGCTGCACCAAGTCGGCTGCCCAGCGTTGCACCCGCAGGACAACGGTGCACCTGCTTCGAAGATGCGCGCAGCTGGCTGGTGTGCACTTCCCTGTCACATGCACAATGCAGACGCCTGGCAGACCCCATGCCAGCGACTGTGCCCACCAGCCACGTCGACCTCGGGATACCACCCCCGAGGTCGGCCTCGCAGTCTCCACCATGGCGACACTCGCGCACGTCGCCCGGGTATCCCGATCGACCGGGCAACCACGCCTGGTCGACTCGCGCATTCCGTAGCCAGTCACGCATGCCCGGCATCCCCAATCCGGTGTTTAGGCGCGCCCAGAACGCCTTTCGAACCCCTAGGTCGGCGTCCAGACGCCCAGGACGCTGACCAAACCTCCAGAGCGGCGTCCCTCCTCCCAAAACGCCGACTAGACACCCAGGTCGATGTCAGGACCCGACGCCCAGGTCGGCGTCCGGATCCCTGGACGCCGTGCGGACGCCCACGACGTCGACCAGGCGTCCGGGTGGTCATGGCGACGCCCAGCTCGGCGTCCCGCCTCCGAGGACGCCGTCCAGGCGTCCGGGACGCCAGCCAGGCGTCCAGGGCGGCGTCCTCCTGCTCGGCGCCCTTGCAGTGGCCCCCGTGCCCACTGCTGTAGGTCGGCTGCAACCCACGCACATCCGACCACTATGTCGGCTCCGCCAAAGCGAGGACGGGGCCTTACAACGCTCCCGTTAACACTCCCCTGCCGCGTTCACGCTTGGGCCCCCAGCCCACACGGCAGTACAGCTCCGAGAATAGCCCGTCGGCGTGCACCCAACACACAGCACGCCGGTCACCGCACCAGCCATGCAAGAGGGCATGGCACCTACTGCTGCACGTCGTTGTCGCTGTCCCTCATGTCGGCCAAGCGCACCTGACCGATTGCGATGGAGCACCGGTTGAAGGCCGGATAGTGCAGCGCCTTCGTCACGAAGTCGGCCGGCTGCTCAGCGGTTGGGATGTACTGCAGCGAGAACTTCCCGCGCCTCACCATGTGCTGCAGCCAGGCCTGTCGCCGCTCCATGTGCTTGAGGTTGCCCGTCAACCCCATGCCCTCGGCGACCGTGATGGCCGACTTGTTCGCCGCTCCATGTGCTTCTCAGCGTCCAGTTGCCGGAATTCTGCGAGAAGGAAGCGAAGGCGGCGTCCCTCCTTGCCAGCTTTAGTGGCCACCACGTACTCCGACTCGGTCGACGACAGCGTCGCGCACTTGATGCGCTGGCTCAACCAGGAGACTGCAGCCCCTCCGAAGACGAACACGTAGCCGCTCGTGCTCGTCCTGTTCTGCTTGTCACCGGCGTCGTCGGCGTCCATGTAGCCGACCAGCTCCAGCGACTCAGGTCCACCGCCGAACTCCAGGGCAGTGTCACGTGTGTTGGCGAGGTAGGCGAGGCAGCGGTCGACCTCGTGCCAGTGCTGGTTGCTCCTCACTGTGAGGCTGCTCCCCAGCTTGCTACAGGCGAAGGTGATGTCCGGCCTCGTCGTCGTCGCCGCGAACTGCAGCGAGCCGACCTTCTGCCGGTACTCCTCCTCGTGCCGCTCCTGCACCTCCTCGTCATCAAAGGTGAGCTCGGCGTAGGCGCCGACCGAGACCGGTGTCTTCGGGGTGCGCCCGGTCTGCTCCTCGTCGAGGAAGCGCCTACGCAGCTTGTCGGCGTAGCCCTACTGGTGCAGCCACAGCTTCCCCGCCGACCTGTCGCGCACGATCTCCAGCCCGAGGTACTTCTGCACCGGCGATATCTCGCGCAGCTCGAAGGCGGCTTCCAGCAGCTCCTTCAGCTCCTTCAGCATCGCGGCGCTGCTGCTGGCGGCAAGCAGGTTGTCGACGTAGACCAGCACCCACCAGGCTACTCCACCCTCGCCGACCTTGAAGTAAAGAGCCTCGTCGACCTGGCTCTTTTTCCACCCGGCGCCGACCAGCACATCATTGAGCGCCAAGTACCACAACACCGGCGACTGCTTCAGCCCGTACAGGCTCTTCAGCAGCTTGCACACCCGGCCGGTTCCGTCATTGAAGTAGTCCGGCTGGGTCATGTACAGCACCCGATCGAGCTTGCTCTGCAGGAAGGCGTTCTTCATGTCGAGCTGCATCAGGTTAAGTTCGAGGACGGCGACGATACTGAGGAAGATCCTCAGCGTGACGTAGCTGCTCACCGGCGCGAACGTCTCGTCGTAGTCAGCGCCGTACACCTGCGTGAAGCCCTTCACGACCAGCCTCGCCTTCTCTCGCTCGACGGTGTCGTCGATGTGGTACTTCGTCGTCAACACCCACCGGTTCTTCATGACGTTCACTCCCGGCGGGGGTTCGACCAGCTCCCAAGTGCCCATGTTGATGAGACTGCGAATCTCCTCCTCCATGGCAGCCTTCACCGCCGGGCCCTTCCAGCTCGCCAATGCCTCCTTCACCGTCATCGTTGAGATGTCCCAATGGTGCTCGGGGTCGGCTAGCATGTCAGGGTCGAGTTTCGGAAACTCCTCATCATCCTCGGCGTCATCGTACAGCAGGTCGTCGTCCTCGTCCACGTCATACACCGTGGTGAAGGCAGCGGGGACGAAGAAGTCAGGCGGCCTCCGAAGTCGGCCGGAACGCCGTGGTCCCTGCTGGACCTCCTCGGCGTCCCCTCCATCGTCGCTGTCGTCGCTGCCCTCAGCGTCCTGCTGCTCTTCAGCCGGCGTCCCAGCCGATTGCTCCCCTGTGGTCGGCGTCCCAGCCGACTTCTCCCCTGTTGTCGGCTTTCCTGCCGACGGCCCGGCAGCCGACTGCTCCTCGACCTGCTTCTCAACCTGCTCCTCCCCTGTCGGCGTCGACTGCAAACCCATGTCGACCTGCCGCTCGTCACGTCGGCCACCGGCGATGCACTTGGTCGGCGCCGAAGGCGGCGTCCCACGACTCCCCTCATCACCGGCGATGCACTTGGCCGGCGCCGAAGGCGGCGTCCCACGACTCCCCTCATCGCCGGAGGCCGACACCGAGGTTAGCCCACGCAGGTCGGCCACGAGGGGAGGGGTAGGGGTGTGGACGTCCTCAACGTCCTCAGTAGCAAGCTCACCGACCTTGGCAAGTTGCGGCAGCGTCGCCGACGAGGTGTCAGAGGGCGGGGTGGACGGCGAGTGGCCGGACGCCGGCCCATGTTCCGTCTTCCACTCGGCCAGTGACATCTCCTCGTAAAACACCACGTCCGACGTGGTGACCACGCGGTCAGTGGCGACGTCAAGGAGCTCCCAGCCCTTGCTCGCCGCCGACACGCCAAGGTGCAGGCCCCACTTGGCCATCGGCTTCAACTTCCCACCACGCTGCTGCTCAGGAACAAGGAACTGCGCTATGCAGCCCCACACCCGCGCCAGCGACAAGTCGGGCTTCTTCCCAGTCAGCAGCTGGTACGGTGTTGTCCCCGGCAGCAGCGTCGACCTCTCAAGGCAGTTGCGGACCCAGACGGCCTGCCGCAGAGCGAGGTGCCACCAGTGGTGCTGCACACCCATGTGCAGCAGCATTGTCCGCACCAACTCCAACACCGTCCTCATCTCCCGCTCCGCCATGCCGTTCTGCTGCGGGGTGTATGGGCAGGTCAGGTCGTGGACGATCCCCTTTCCGTTCACGAATTCGGTGAACTGCTTCCCGAGGAACTCCCCTCCCCGGTCAGAGCGCAGCATCAACACCGACTTCTTCGTCTGCCGCTCAGCCACCGCCAGCCACTGTACGAACGCCTGCAACGCATCTGACTTCTTGGCGACCGGCTTCACCCACACGTAGCGGGTCTTGCGGTCCTTCAGCAGCAAGAAGTACAGGCTGCCATCCTTGGCAGTCACGCGGAACGGCCCACACAGGTCAATGTGCACGACGACCAGCACGTCGTCGGCTTTGGAGCCCTAGTCGGGGAATGTGTGCCGCGCCAGTGTCCCGCCGACGCACGAGACACACGGGGAGTCGGCGTCCGTCGCCGACTTGAGGTCCAGCCCAATGGCAACCTCGTTCTTTGCCGAGCTCCGTATGGTGTCCATGCCGACATGTGCAAGCCGCTCATGCATCCAGTCCGGCGTCGACTTCGTCTTCGAGACGATCGCCCGCAGAGCCACGGCCTCTAGCGTGGTTGACGCTGACGTCGTCGTGCAGGGACGCAGGTCGGTGCAGAGGACTTGCCCAGAGTACGTCGCCCGCCCGAGCACCTCCCCTGCTGCCGAGACGAGCAGCATGCCGTCTCCGTCCTCCTGCAGCTTCACGCCATGCTCCTTCAGCTGGTCGGCCGACAGCAGGTTGGCTCGCACACCCGGGACGTACAACGCGTTGAGGATGAGCACCTCCTTCCCGGCCTCTCCTTGCAGAGCGACGGTGCCGCGGCCCTGGACATCCTGCAGCGCCCCATTGAAGCCGCGCACATGCCTGATGGCGCTGCTCGGCTGCAAGTTGACGAAGGCTTCCTTCGTCCCCATCAGGTGGTGGGAGCAACCGCTGTCGAGCAGGACCACCGCCGGGTTCGCCTGCACAGCTGCCGCCACCGCCTGGAAGTCCTCTCTGGCCTCCAGCGCCAGAGAGATGGTCGGCTCCACGACGCCGACCATCGAGCACGACGCCGTCTTGTCATCTCGCCCGTTGCCGCCAGCAGGGGAGTCGGCGTCCTTCGCCGAGGTCGATGTCTTGGTCGACGGCTTTTCCTTGCACGGCTGGTTTCCTCCACGACGAGGATGTCGGCTGCTAGACCTCCCACGGCCGCCCTTAGCATCGTCGTCGTCGGATTCACTATGGTTGGGACACTCGAAGGAGAGGTGGTCGGGGTCGCCGCACAGCCAGCACTCCCGACGTCGACCTCCTCCACGACCGCTGTCCTTGGTCGACTTCTTCTTGTCGACCTCCTTGGCCAGCTTCCAGCCACTGCTACCACCACCGCCAGACTGCCCGCGCTGCCCCGGTCGGCCTCCTTGCTTCGGTGAGGTGACCAAGTTCGCCTGCGCCAAGAGCTCCTGCGACCGCTCAGCCTCCTGCATCGCCTCGTCCTGCACGATATACGAGATCAGGTTGTCCTCGTTGAGCGTCGCCCTTGTGCTCGGCACCATAGACAGCCGCTTCAGCAGGTTGTAGCTGCTAGAGAGACCCTGCATGACATGGGTGATGTACGACGCCGTGGAGTACTGCGCGCCGGCCAACCTGATGGTGGCGAGAATTCGCCTGGCTCGGTTGCAGTAGTCGGTCGCACTCTCCTCGTCGCCCATACGCAGGTGTGTCAGCTGTCCCTCCAGCTGGGTGATGAACAGGTTGTCGGTGACCTGGTACGTGGACTCAATGAAGTGCCACGCCCGGTGGCCGGTGTCGATGTACTCCCGGCACCACTTCAAAGCGATCTGCACGACCGGCGAGCAACACCACGAGATGACCGTGAAGTTCAACAGCTGCACGGCGCGAAACTCCGCGCGCAGGTCGGGGTGGTGCTCCCCCGGCGTCGCCACGGTCCCTCGGGCGAAGCCGATCAGCCCGGCCATCTCCAGCTGGGGCTCAATGGCTTCCTTCCAGGTGAGAATGTTGGGTCGACCGACCAACGGAGGGGTGACCGAGATCCTGTCCGGCGTAAACTTGAAGTAGCCGTAGCTCGGTGCAATCCCACCTGCCATCACCTGGGACGCCTATATCGGCGACAGCCCACTTCGACGCCCACCGGCGTCACCATGTGAGGAACCTGCAGCCGCCGACGATTGCATCCCTCGCGCCTGAACGCCGCCGGCTTCACCGGCGTGTATCACACCTCGTTGCCTCGACGTGCCTCCCACACTACTGCCGACCTGACCTCCACCGGCGTTGACGCCCACATCGACGCCGCCGTCATTGTTCACTGGTCGAGGAGAGGCAGGTTGAGAAGGGGGATGCTCCGCCGCCCACACGGAGCGGAGTCCGGTTTCGACGACTGCCCAAGGAATCGCCCCATACTCCTGGGCCTCATGGCGTCTCCTCGCAACCTCCAGCCGTCCCTCCAGGGTGTCCATCACCTCGGCGTCGCCTACGCGCACGCTAGTGACTGCACGGCTGCCGGTCTACGAACACGATCGGTATGTGCAAAGTCGGCTAGACTGAACTACGTCGCGGTGTCGTCCACGCTCACCGCACCATGCGGAGATAACTGCAGCAACGGGAGCTAGGCTACGGGCTAGGCACGTGTGCTTGTGTGATCTCTGCGTTCGTTCACTTAGTTGTTTCCTTGTGTCCACGCTTCTTGCTAGTTCACGGGGAGAATTTGCAAGAGTTTCACTAGGAAAACATGACAAGAATAATAGCAACAACATTGGCAACATTGACTACATTAGAGCTAGCTAGGCTGCTGGTTGACCTCCAGCGCAGCACGGTCGACCGCACTCCAGCACAGCAGCGCTCGCACCGCTCCAGCGTAGCAGGGTAGTGGTTCGCCAACGTTGCAAGTCCACGGTGTGCCAACGCTGCACCAAGTCGGCTGCCCAGCGTTGCACCCGCAGGACAACGGTGCACTTGCTTCGCACATGCGCGCAGCTGGTTGGTGTGCACTTCCCTGTCACGTGCACAATGCAGACGCCTGGCAGACCCCATGCCAGCGACTGTGCCCACCAGCCACGTCGACCTCGGGATACCACCCTCGAGGTCGGCCTCGCAGTCTCCACCCTGGCGACACTCGCGCACGTCGCCCGGGTATCCCGATCGACCGGGCAACCACGCCTGGTCGACTCGCGTAGTCCGTAGCCAGTCACGCATGCCCGGCGTCCCCAGTCCGGTGTCCAGGCGCGCCCAGAACGCCTTCCGAGCCCCTAGGTCGGCGTCCAGACGCCCAGGACGCCGA